GGGAAAGGGATTTTGAGCTGCATGTTGACAATCTCACACGCAAATGTAGCGCCCTTCCTTCTTTCAAATATTTTGTTCCTGTCAAACGTTTTTATTGTCAAAAAGGCTTTTAAAAAACGTTTTATACTGATACTGCTTGCATTTTTTAGCTAGGAAATCTTTAGTTTTCTGGGAAAAATTCTTAGAAAGTATTTCTTGTATTTCCTGAATTTCTCGCTGACAACCAGTTGTGACTTACAGCTGTCTGGGACACAGGAACAGATATATTTTGCCCAGGAACCCGTCGATCGGCTCCTCCTATATATACAAGCTTCAAAATGATATATAGCTTATAAGATTTTATTTTAATGCGACGCAAAAATAATATTTTTAATGAAGGTACTTCGTGAAGATTCACAGGAACCTTTTAAGGTTTAACAACCTTTTGCGACTGATTATTTTTGATCATATTTTTTTGGTTGCAGCCACGTTACCAAGAATCCACCAAAGAATTTAAAACAAGGCTATTGCCGCCATGCTGTGCGAATGAACAAGAGAAATRAACTGCGTCCCACATCGAAGGGAATATCTAGCTCGCACGCCGAGAATGCRSAGAACTTTGGCCTCATCAGTCCACATCGGTGCAAGTTCGAGGCGAGTTTGTTATGATTCTGCCCTCCGTCCTCAAGGGAACGAAAAAAACAATTAAACATCTCAGACAACAGAATATAARGATGGATTAGGAGATAGATAAAAATCTTAAACAATACAAAATTAACACATAAATGTGAATAATCCCGCGATAAAGATMTTTAGCGCACAAGATAGTCTAATTTGTATTGGTTTAATTGAAGTAAAAATTAATTAACGTCATTTGGATCAAAACAGCTATGTATACAACGGGCAGCGTGCCAATGCCACGTCACATATTACAAAWGTCTCCACGTTTGTAATATATTACAACGCCTAACAATGGATTCAATCATAACGAGCTCTGAGATTCAGTGGTGAGCTTAGGAGTTTGGAAACAGAAGATTTTCAACTATGAATGCAGCAAAAACAGCATTTCTACTCTTCTTGTTTGGTTGCTTTTCATTCGGGCTTTGTAAAAGTATGTAACTATTGATTATTTTAGGTCTTTTATGGTTTATTTACATGTTTGGCGTTTAAACAAATTAAATAATTGCYATTAGATTTTTTAAAAAATTGTACAAGTTTGTACTGCTCAAAAGCTAACTAATATCGCGAGAAATTGTATATGTTATTTTGCATTTATAATGAAATTTAATTTTCAAGTTCAAATGCACAAAAGTATAATATTATAAGATAAGATGATGCAGTTCAAAATTTCGAACGGATAATTGCGATATTTATCGCAATTCCAAAATCACTCTTTAATAATCATAGAATTGAAGCTATATATATATTATATCAAAGAGGCAAGATTTTGCTGTAAGTTTCTTGAGGTAGGAGTTTCTTGACGGAATAGGAATGTTCTTCATTGAATAGTTGAATCTTGTTTTCTCCATTGTGGATAACGGCGGTCGGCGAAAAGAATTGAAGCTAACAATTTTGTAACAGCTAGTCTCATTACTATAACATTTTTTGAATCTCTTGTAAATTCTCCTTGCCTAACGTGTTTTGAAATAGTTTCATGTAGTTTTCTGGTTTTGATTAAGTAAAATGTACTGGGTTTGGATTTTGACTTTCGTTGGCTTCAAATGAAGCTTTGGCAAAGCTGAGCATGAAACGTGGTTTCAATTTCATTAACGAATGTCACGTGACTGGTTACCACGGTAGCGCTACATCAGCCATAACTTATTTTAATTAATTAAAAGTCTTTTTGTTATTACAGATTGAAATCTCGCGTACGTCTTTCGCGGTAATTGTTTAATTTTTTCGCTCTTTTAACTAAATAACGTATATCTGCAGATTCTTTAGTTAAGAAATATAAAACGACGCGCGTGTCTCTGTCCTCTGATATAAACACGGTCGTCAGCCAATCAGAGCGCGCGCTATATATCAAAAATTTTAATATAAAAATTAGGTAAAACCTAATAGCGGAGCTCCCAAAAGATATGCATGTTGGATAAAGATGGKATGCAAGACACATTGGTCAGATTTTTAGTACATTTTATAAAGATGTATAAAGACGATTATTGTTGAATGCCTATATAAAGATAAGCTGCAGATATCGCGGTATCGCTACGCCCTTCAAACCGAAATCTTAATTTCAAGTACCTTACGTTGTTCATTCGAGATTCAGTGCGGTCGTGTTTTAGATTTTTCATTATGGAAGATGAGGTGACTTCAAATATCCATTCGCAATCGGCGTTTCCATCCGTCGCTTTTAAGGTCGAATCTTACARTATCCCCATCCATAGTCGAGCATAAAAGAGTAAGGGATAATGAAGAGTATAATTTAAATTTTGCTTACATTGCGATGTGTGGTTTTTATTTTAACACATAAACAAAAGTTTGAAATGGATGCCGGTTAAGCATGGCCCAATCTCGTTCCCAGGGCTTCTCTACTCTCAATGCCGTTCAAACTGACAGTCAGAAAATGCCATAGCATCGGTTGGAAACAGGAAACTTCTTAGTTGCGTAATAAACTAAAAAGTTAGTCAATCAAAATCAATCTTGAATTGACTGTTCGATGTACGATCCTTTTCCGCCTACTGAAAAACAGAATTGCAAATTGATAAACGACCGCATTTAAAGTCATTTGACCACGGCCCTGTAAGAGCAATTGAAATACAAATTTCGGTTAAATTTCCAATGGCGTGTTACTACTATGCAATCTGCATTATGTTTGTGTCTGGGTATCATTCTAGACTATCTACATCTATATAGAATATAAATCAACAAATTATTAAAATAATTACCGCGAAGGACGCGAGATTTTAATCTATAATTACAAAAGAACATTTTTATCAATTAAAATAGGTTGTGTGGCTGATGTGATGTTGCTGTGGTAACCAGTCACATGACAATTTTGCAATTAAATTGAAACCACTTTTTCTTAGCTATGAGGACGTCTGACTGAAGCTAAAATTCAAACCCATGGCATTTTACTTATTCATAGAAAATGATTTGCAAATACAGTAAAAAAAAAACTCTTTTTCGATCTAT